AAATTTTGCCAACTTGTATCCACTATAATTAGAAATGTCATAGCATTCTAAGCTACTCAAACTACTAGTAGAAACTAAAAATTTTAAACGTGAAATGAAAAACATGACCAAGATGAGAATGCCATAAAGGAAAATTCGATGACTCTGGATTTAAACGAAAAGAAGGTAAATCAATAGTAGAAGTAGCAATATCTTGAACTTGTAGCTCTTCCATTACATAGAGCCCTCCTTTTTTACGCCCTATTCCAATCAACTTCTTGGACTGAGGATCCTGCACAACACAACTATAGAAAGAGAAAGAGAAGTGAACTAAAAATCTAGAATAAAAAAGTTGACTAACTAAAATTAAATTCAAGGTAAGTTGAGGAATGTAATAGATATCTGGAAGTGTAAGTTAGGTAGAAGTAACCATCCCAACACCGGCCAAAGATATTTAAGTGTCACTGGCCGCAAGTACAAATGCAAACGAAGGAGAGACAATAGAGATAAATAAGGAAGAATCACTAGTCATATAATGTGTGGCACCTGAGTTAAAAGACTCGTGCAAATCGAGATATACCAGAGGGACCTAAAGTAAATGAATCTACTGAGGGAGAGACTGTGAGTACTCCAAGTTGATGAAAAGAGAGAAACTTCTGCAACTGATCCGCAGTCATAATTAGGCCAGGAGCAGGTGACGAAGACTTATTAGCTGGCCGTGCAACTGCTGCTGTATGACGGTATTTGACCTTAAATGACTGATTTACCGACCCCANCGATGACTCTGGATTTAAACGAAAAGAAGGTAAATCAATAGTAGAAGTAGCAATATCTTGAACTTGTAGCTCTTCCATTACATAGAGCCCTCCTTTTTTACGCCCTATTCCAATCAACTTCTTGGACTGAGGATCCTGCACAACACAACTATAGAAAGAGAAAGAGAAGTGAACTAAAAATCCAGAATAAAAAAGTTGACTAACTAAAATTAAATTCAAGGTAAGTTGAGGAATGTAATAGATATCTGGAAGTGTAAGTTAGGTAGAAGTAACCATCCCAACACCGGCCAAAGATATTTAAGTGTCACTGGCCGCAAGTACAAATGCAAACGAAGGAGAGACAATAGAGATAAATAAGGAAGAATCACTAGTCATATAATGTGTGGCACCTGAGTTAAAAGACTCGTGCAAATCGAGATATACCAGAGGGACCTAAAGTAAATGAATCTACTGAGGGAGAGACTGTGAGTACTCCAAATTGATGAAAAGAGAGAAACTTCTGCAACTGATCCGCAGTCATAATTAGGCCAGGAGCAGGTGACGAAGACTTATTAGCTGGCAGTGCAACTGCTGCTGTATGACGGTATTTGACCTTAAATGACTGATTTACCGACCCCATGGCATTCTTACTCACCAATTTAGGGCACTAGGCCTTTCAGTGGCCCTTCTCTTAACAAAAACTACACTCATCCGAAACAACTTGACTTCAGTACTTATTTTGTGCATTAGAAATCACCTTTGGAGGTACAACCAATACAGTTTGATTGGCGCGATGGAAGAAGACCCTTTCAAAGAGTCTTAAGACAAACCTCTTCGGTTAAAAACTCATTTATCACTGCATCAACTGAGGGCAATGGATGACGATGGAGAATTAAACTACAAAGTCCCTCAAAGTCATCTCTAAATATTATCAGAAATTGCACTAATCTCTGCCACTCTCTATGAGTCTGATATACTTAATTAGTACTCAACTCAGCTGGCTTAGTAAGTGCCAACTGATCCCAATATCCAATCATAATTGAGTAAAATTCCTTTATGGTTTTATCCTCTTGATATGCATCTCGAATCTCATGCTCAAATTGATACCTCTTTGTAAAGTTTAACTGAACAAACAACGTGACCAAATAGTCCTAAATTTTCTCTGCAGTGGTGAATTTAGTCAAATAAACACCAATGGTTTGATCAATAGAGTTTTTAATCCAGGTAATAATTTTTGCATTGTTGCTGTCCCAACTTATCTTCAAGTCAGCATTTTTTTCTACCTTAAGATCAGTTGGGATTGTCGTCACACCATCAATAAAACTCCACTTCTCTTTACCTGACATAAGTTTTTTCATAACATAAGCCCAATAAACATAATTTTCACCAGTTAATTTGACACTAATGGTGCGAGTCAGAGTTACCAGTTGCCATATTTGCAACAACGGAGAAAAACCACTTAGCAAAGGCCAACAGAATTTCATCCCACAAGTGAATAATAGCCAAGACCAAATCTGGAAGTGAGCCCACAAGCCCAAAGCAAACAGCCAGCAGCCCAAATAACCAAACAATCAGAGGCACAAAATTGAATGCCAGCCTGCCTAACCAAACACCCAAAGCCCAAAACAAACAACCTCCACCTGTTGAAGTATTCCCAAACCAAAGCTTCAGCCAGGGGAGCTTCTGCGACCACCCAGCAGCCAAGAGGTAGAAGACGATCCAAACCAGATCTTCAGCGACCACGCAGCCAAAAGCAGAGGTCGCAGAAGCCACCAAGGGAAGAAATTACAGCAGATCGAAGTCGGAGAAGACGGCTGAACCTTGAGTTCGACCAGATCTTGACCCAAAACCACTCCAAGAACTTTGAAACACACTGTCAACTAACAATACCTTCAAATCGGACCTCTTGAGAAAGATTTCAACCCTCAGATTCGAAGAAAACACAGAAGATCTTATCGAAAAAAATTGACAGAATTTCTCAAAAATATTCAAAAATTGAAAACTCCAGTCAGATGGCCACAATTTAAAAACCAAAGCATACCAATGTAATACCCATGCAAAATCGATCAATGAATTGTATTATACTGTTCAGATTGATGATGTCATGATGACAACATCGAATGCGATGATGATGTCAGCTATGCGATGATGATTCCAGCCATTATTCTTCCATAAGAAATTCTTCCGAACTCTACCTATGTTTAGTTGTGATTATGAATTGTAACATGCTCTGATACCATGTTAGAATTGATCAAAGGAAGAAGAGAGAAAGAAAAATATTGTTACCGGCACAATTAGGTTGTGCAACTTAAGTATTAAGATACATAGTAAAGCTCTTATATAGTAGGGCAAAACAAAACAATGGAACAACTAATCTACTCCTAATATAAAAATGCTAGACTACTCTAACAATGTTCTCCACAAAGAATGCTGGGGATCTTCCAAACTGTAGGTGTTAGTAAACTCTTCATTGAATGCTTATAACTTGGAATGATTACGGTGGTAGAGCTGAGACTTTTTAGCAGTGGGATCAATATTGACCATCATAAAAGAGGATCCACTATACCACTTTATTAGTGATCGCTCGAAGCTATGCACGGGATTTACAATCTTAGCCCATTTTATCATCTCCACCTATGCCGTTCAAACATATGTAACAACCCATATGTATATATATGCATGTATGTGTGTGAGAAATTGTTGATTAGAAGATTTTATAGAAGTTAAAAGGGGATTGATAGTGGGAAATAATAGAATGTGTGAGAAGTTGGATGAGTGGTCATATTTCTAAAGGAATTTGATTGAAGAAAATCTTTTTTTTTTTTTGCGTTTAATAAAATCAAAGTAATGGGGAAAAAGAAAACACGAAGGGAAGAACTTCCAAGGCCTCTCTCAACTAATTTGTTTGTTGTAATATATAAAGAAGGTCCCTAGCAACTGTTTCCTCTTAGAGAGAACAAGGGCTTGAAAAATTTCCCTTTTTCATGGTTCAAATGATTTTTCTTTTTATATGTTCGTTTAATATATTTGAAGAGGAGGGAAGTAAAGAAATATGTTATGGTTACGAGAGAAAATGACTCTCTGAAGGTTGGAGAATTGTGAAGTGAAAACTGAGGTAATCTGGAGAGTAAGAACGATATTTCCAACTTTATGTATGTGCATTGATGCTTGAACTATAATTCCATGGCTTGGAGCAAGGCTTTACAGTTTAAAATGTGTAGTTGGTCTTTCAAATGATTTTTCTTTTTATATGTTCGTGTAATATATTTGAAGAGGAGGGAAATAAAGAAATATGTTATGGTTACGAGAGAAAATGTCTCTCTGAAAGTTGGAGAATTGTCACGTGAAAACTGAGTAATCTAGAGAGTGAGTACGATATTTCCACCTTTATGTACGTGCATTGATGCTTGAACTGTAATTCCATGGCTTGGAGCAAGGCTTTACAATTCAAAATGTGTGGTTGGTGGTGTATTTTTTTTTTCTTTTTCCCTGTCTTTATGTTTCTCTTTTGTTTCGGGGAGAGAGGGTGCTTTGGATACAATGAAAAGAATAATTTTATTTTTCCGATCAAAATCTTACTGGCTATGTATGCTTCTAGGCATGTTTGACACATTGTGGTAGAATACAGTCAATGGTAGGAGTTTGACAACAATTGGGCTATCTATTATGTGGAAGGAAGCTTAATTTATTTCAGCGGGTGTGGGATTTCTCGTGTACACCAATATCATATTTTCTTGATCATTCTGAAGTAGCAGTGGGATAGTCCTGGTTTATCATAAGAAGAGAACTTTTTTAACTACCGCGGTTGTTGGTTTTCTTCTAGTTGTTATGAGTGTGGCTACATTGGATACGTGGTTAAGATCTGGGCACACTTGCTATAAAACTACCACATACAATTATTAATTGGAAGAGTAGCTTCGATGTGCTGCATAAAGCACGCACAACCTATCACAAAAAACCAAAGGGCTTTAAGCAACCATACTGCTAATTTTATGGCAATATATTGCTCTGCAATATAGGCATTTTTTTTTTTTTTACAATGTTGATATTCCAATGAGGAGTTAGTTGAGTTATTTTGGCAAATTTGCAGTGAATAGTTTTGCATAGTGCTTTAAGATACCTGTGTTTGTTCTTTGGCTTGGAAAGCCATTTTAGCACTCACTTTTTTTGGGTTATTGTCTTGTATTGCAGTCACGATCGCTATTTGTCAAGAACTTGAACTTTAGAACATCCGACGAGAGTTTGAGAAAGCATTTTAGCGAACACATGGAGGTGGGAAAAATCCGAAGTGTCAGGGTAATTCTCTTGGTCCTTACATTCTAGCACATTTTCTGTGTATAAATTCAAGCTCATGCCTCATATTTTTTAAAGTAGTAACATTCTCTTCTCTACTACTGTTCTGGCTTGTTCCATGTGTAGGTGAAAAAGCACTTGAAAAATGGGAAGAATGTTTCGATGGGTTTCGGCTTTATAGAGTTCGATTCTGTGGATACAGCAACGGCTGTTTGCAAGGATTTGCAAGTAATAGTTCATGTTATGTGCCAGCTTCAGTGAACATCAGTTGTGTATACTTCCGAGTATTTAACATTCTCTTTCTTTTCAGGGAACTGTTTTGGATGGACATGCCCTGATATTGCAACTTTGTCATGCTAAGAAGGATGAACAAGTACTTAAAAAAGTTGAGAAGGAGCAGAGTTCAACAAAATTGATTGTGAGAAACGTAGCTTTTGAGGCAACAGAGAAAGAGCTGAGACAACTGTTTAGTCCATTTGGCCAGGTAGTTATTGATTGTTACCATTGCACTGGTTAATTGGCTAACTTGTTAAGGGGTATCTTACCGTTAAGAAAAGTAAATGGTTATATAAGGACTGTGTGGTTACCCCAAAAGAGAGTTTGATCATGCAAACATAGGATAATAGTATTAGAACTACGTACTAAAAATCATTTAAGACTAATAAAAGAAACAAATAATTCAAGAACTCGGCATCAGAATATAAAAGATGAAACTAATGTAATATAAACTGTGATTGTAGGAGTGTATTAAAAGAAGATACAAAAGATGTAGATAAAAGTATTTATAGACTTGGAAAAGTAAAGGAAAGAGAAAATAGGGATTTCAATATAGTAAGTGTTGTTGGAGCGAGTTTGCTGACGTATGGTGCTAAAAGAGGAAATTTAGTGAAGGGGGAAAATTCCTTTGAAAAGCTATTATTCAGGAGTGGAAGCATATAATAATCTCTACTAGTGAGAACAAGTTTTTTGTAGAACTACGGTCAGAAGTAAATAATACTTTAATGAAATTTGAAACTAGAATAGTTTTAGAACCTAATACTAAAACAATTAAGGTTTAGAGTGTTTAGGGGATGTCGAAGTATTTTGGTTTAAATTATTTAATAAGACTGATGATGGAAAAAAGTCCAATGAGTGGAGGAAGAGTATTGTAGTATCTCTTTTTTAGATTTTTTTGAACACTTATTGTTGTATCTCTACCACAATAAAAAGGATATTCAGAGTTAAACAAATTATCGAGTAATTAAATTATGGATTTATACAATGAAACTTTGGGAGAGAGTGACCGGAGATTGATTAAGATTCGAGACAACAGTATCTAAGAAATAGTTTGGAGTTATGCCTGGAGATCAATAAAAAGTGTGGAAAAAGATCTCTCTCTCTCTCTCTCTCTTGAATGTTGGATTAAAGAAGGGCATTTTGGTAATTGAACATATAAATTTTGGAGGGAAATATTTTTCTACTGCACCAATACATTTTTCTGAATGAAATGCTTACAATTTCACTTTGGTCCAAAAGTCCTGATGGGTTATGCATAATTTTTGAAATATAAGGGTCTAACTAGAAGAAATCGCACGATGGTAAAATGTATTAACCCTTAATTATTTATTTTCCTAAATCCATTGATCTAACAGGGCTGTTTTTCATAGGCTGCTAAGTAGGTCAAGAGAAATCCTTCACTGGCATTGGAAGTCTTTTGCCTCAAGTTGGTTTTGCTAGGTTTTGCTTTTACCCATTTAGCATATATACAGTCATTGTACATAAGCTAGAGTCCTTCTGTAATTAACGAATTGTAACTTCTTACAGAACAGAAGTGAATGCACCAGGCAATCTGTTGCAAACTACTTACCTGAAAATTATGCTTATTCTTCTCACTCGTAAATATTCATTCATCTTTTTTTGAATTTTCTTTAGTTACGAATTCATGTTCATGAAATTCTACATTTTTGTTATTTGGCAGATTAAGAGTTTAAGGTTGCCAATGAGGTTTGGGAACCATAGGGGCTTTGCTTTTGTGGAGTTTGTAACGAAACAAGAAACCCAAAATGCTCTTCAAGCTCTTTCAAATACCCATCTCTATGGTCGCCATCTGGTATGTCTTATATCAATACGCTTGAATATATACATGTGCCTATATCATAAATAAACAGATGTAACGCTACTTAACTTTCAGGTTCTGGAGAGAGCGAAGGAAGGCGAAAGCTTAGAGGAATTACGGGCTCGAACGGCTGCTCAGTTCACTGATGAGCATAGTGGTTTTCAAAATTCCATGAAGTTATCAAAAAAAAGGAAGCACATGACCATATTGGATGAAGGCAATGTTAGATTTGAAAGACTTGCAGATTAGTGTCTTATAAACTCCCTTGTAGCAGGTAGATTGTGAATTTTATATTCTTGTTTGTCTTATCAGACTTTTATCTATATTTTGAGTTTGAGGCGGCTCCATTTTTCCATGTTGGGAGCTGTTTCTAGTTTATAGGTTTTTTCGTAGAAGAAGCTGTGCAAAATATAAGTTGTTATTTGTTGGAATGGTTGCTGGATTTACAGCAGTTTCGAATGTATCTTCTTTCTAATTCTCTTGGAGAGAGGAACTTTTGGAAAAATCTACTTAAATATTTCTTTTTGACCACCCAATAGAAGTTTTGAAGGCTAAAATCAAGAGATGCAATTTTTGCTATATGATTCTTTCTAGTGGTGGTGCATTCAGTTTTTGTCAGTCTTGATATGCTGCTTGTAGTTTGAAATGGTTTTCCTAGCTACACTAGTTCTATAGTGCATCTTTGAGTGAAGCAGGAAATTATATGCAAGATCCCCCCCCTTTTTGTGACGTACCCGTAAAGGGAATGTTCTAAGTGTCACTATCTGAATAATGGCAAAGGTGGCTGTAATTCGATTCAATAATGCCGTATCGAGTTCCCTTTGAAATCCAGTGCTTTAGATTGAGTAGTGGGGTTATGACTGTTTGCAATGACCTTTACCCTCGCTATTAATAAAAAGGATATATGCTGCACAAATTTTTTTGCCAAATTTTATATCTCAAGTGATTTGTCAAAATTCTATGCATTGAATATTTGGTAGAGTCAATGAATTTCACTAATTCAATCACTTGCATTGATTTGAGATAAAAAATTTGGGCAACAATTTGATCAGCATAATATTATTCACTTTTCCCGAGTATTGAGGAACAAGTCATTTCTCTCTTAGAATATAATATCTACCGGTATGGAGTCACTATTAGGAAGAAAATAAGGAGATAACTATTATTAGATTCTCTACAGGTAATTGTGATGATATTCATATTGTCTATTTTTTGTTTTCTGCATCATAAATTTTTTGTACGTTTAGATGGCCAAGCAAATTGACAATGAAGAACAAAGTTGAGGAGCTAATGATTTTATCTAAGCTTGATATTCAGGGACGGCCGAGAAAAGCTCCAGTCCTTTGGGAGGTGATGTGGCATCTGCCGCCTTTAAATTGGTTGAAGCTTAACACGGATGGCACCGTTAGGGGCTGCCCAAGTGTCACTGTGTGGTGGCATGCTTTAATTTTTTTTATTTATTCAATAAATTCCCTCGCACTGCATGAGATTCAATCCCCCCTCAAAAAAAAAAAAAAAGATTTGATCTCCTGGTTTTTTCTACATTTAGTGTCCTCCTCAATTAAAAAATCAATTGTCCATTTCCTACCAAGGTTGTATATTCAATATCTAGATCCTCTCTAATACATTTTTTTTATTCTTTCTTGGAAGGTCTTCCATTATTAATGAGTGAGGAACACACTTGCACACAATGGGTCTCACTTGAATGCATGATAAGTGATCCGTCGAAAAGGAATTGAAGAGAAAATATATGTATTGAAAGCAATTTCACTTCGTATCTGCAAATCATTTGAGATTTTCCATTCCTCTCTTTCTTCTTATTCTTTTGCTACCTTTGTAGAAATCACATACAACTTGTTTGTCTTTTTCTTGTATATTTTACTTTTAATTTCAAAAGAAAACACATAAAAACAATTTGTTCAAGAATCTTTGACTTTTAATTACAAAAGAAAACACATAAAAACAATTTGTTCAAGAATCTTTGACGAGAGATATTTCAAATTAACAATCATGGTTTGTGATTTGCTAATTTTGTGGTGTCATTTTAAATCTCAATCTATTCCATAGTTATGATGATACAATAATGAAGATTCAAAATTACTAATTGAAGGGAGGAGATCATGTGACAAAGGTCCATCAAAAGCAATATGTTTGCACCTTCTTACTTAGGACAAGGTAATGACCTAGAGACCTAACATGATCCCTTGGTTTAATAAACTTAGGAGGATTAATGTTAAAATGGAATTGTATTTGATCTGAGTGTGGTTCCTAGGTATTTTGAAGTAAATTTTTTTCTAAACCTTTTGTATGTTTTGAAAATATATAATTGAGCCATCATTGAATCCTCTTGAGTAACATCCTTTAGTGTTCAATAGGACAAGTTTTTTTCTTGATTTTAGGCTTAAAAAATCAATAGGGGCCGCTCTATGCTCACTAGCATTCGCTAGAACGGTCTCTTTATGTTAGGGGAAAATTGCGCAAAGGCTAAATGGAGGATAGCAGGGGTCAGCCTTTGGGTTGCTCGAGTAGTCTTACTCTCCTAGGTTAGTTTGGAATTCATTTTTCAATCTAGTGACCACCACCCTATAACCGCCCTCCCACTGCTTGAGCGGTCGTTCATGAATTTTTGTTTTCTTGTTCACCAAGAAAACAAAAAAACTCAAAGATCATACCGAAGTTCATTGCCTTTATTCCGGACCTATAAATATGGAGTCTTTCCTAATCTATGGACTGAATTCTTGCCTCTTAAAACTTAGAGATCATACCACAATTCTAGATCCCTAAATCCAAAGGCTATTATTATACAAATCTCATCCAACCTCATAACTTGAAGACGAAAAACTTGATTGGTTGAAGAACAAATCCATTGGAAGTTTGCATACCGAAGTTCATTGGTGCGTCTTATGAATGGTTGAGGCCTAGAGGATCTATTGTGGTGGAGAATCCAAGTGAAGCTACCGAAGACATCGAATAGGCATTGGTAGAGAGGCTTATTGAAGGAAGGAGCATCTAAATATATTGGTTGAGATATAAGACTCGAGTACTTGAAAGCTAACTTTGGGATAGTAGATTAGGCTTTTGGTGAACCCTGGAGAGGTTCCTCATGGTTTTTCCTGAGAAGGGTTTTCACGTCAACAAATTGCATGTGTTAATCATTGTTATTTTCTTATACACTTGCAATTTGAGCACACGTGTACTATGTGTTTGATTGAGTGTTTGATTGAATGTTTGATTGGATATCTTTATCGTATCATCCATAGTTATGTACCAAGTGTTTGGGCCATTGGGTTGGGATCCCCTTGTGAGATTGAGTGTTGCGTGATTAATTGACAAAATCAATTCACTAATCTCTATGGGTTCAAGGGGTCATTGTGTTTAAAATGAGGTTCTCACTATTAATTGATTAATCTTTATGAGAAAAAGTAATTATGTTAGTAATAGGTTTAATTTGGTGTTTGTAAGTTTAAAGTTTAAAACCCCGTTCACCCCCCCGGGCAGTGTCGTACAATCCACGTATATAATCATGAGGGAAGATCCACATATATCTCCCCTTCCTGGAACAACAATTGGTACTAGAGCGTCGTTGCCCTGAATTGCACTAGACACATTATAGGCATATTTTGTAATTGCTTTCTTACCTAGTTTGTTTGGTTCCTATAGATCTATTGTTACTACGAGTTAGTTTCAAATGGAGTCTTAAAAGAAAAGTGGTTCAATTACATGACTGCCTCTGTTCGAGGATCTAATTTTGCGTATTGAAAAGTTCGCATGTGAGTGTTTATGAAATCTATTGATGAGAAAGTTTGGATATGTGTGCAAGAGGATTGGAGCCCTCCCACCGACACCACTCAGTTGAAGGTGGTGAAGCTGTGGTTGAAGTGAAATCCCCAAAGACTTGGACAAAATTCAAAATTAAGGAAACGGGGTGGAATTCAAAAGGTTTAAATGTGATATTCAATGTCGTGACACCTAATGAGTTCCAAAGGATTGCAAATTATGAGACCTTCAAAGAATCCTGGGACATCTTGGTTATTTTCCATAAAGTGACCACCATGGTGAAGATGTCCAAACTCCAAAGGTACACCTCTAAGTTCGAAACTTTGAGGATGCAAGAAGATGAAACATTTAGTGAGTTTTATGCTAAATTGTGTGATATTGTAAATTCATGTTTTTCATTAAGTACCAAGGTTGATGATGAATCTATGAAATAGAATATCGTGAGATCTCTTTCGGAGAGGTTTCATGCAAAAGTGACGTCCTTAGAGATGAGCATTAACTTGGAGTCAGTGTCAATAGAAGACCTAGTTTGGTCAATATTGACCAGGTAAGTCTTCTAGGAAAAACCAAGCAATCTTCTTGAATGATTCCTAGAGATCCTCACACCAAGCACATAACTTGCTTCATCTAGTCCTTCGTCTCGAAATGTGAGAACAACCACCCTTTAGTGGTGATAATCATCTCCTTGTTATTCACAACCAATAAAATGTTGTCAACATACAAAGAGAGGCTAATAAGACTTCCTTTGGATCGCTTAATGTATACACAATGATCTTCTTTGACCATCGTGAACCAATCATCAATGATGGCTTGATGAAATCTCATGTATCACTGTTCAAATGATTGCTTCAAGACATAGATAGATAGATTGAACTTGCAAACTTTGTGCTCTTTACCTTCTATAATGAAACCAACTAGTTGATTTATATAGATCTCCTCATCTAGTTCTCCATTAAGAAATGCAGTTTTAACGTCCATTTGGTAAAGTTCCAAATCTAAATGTTTGACAATGGCTAAAATGAGGCGAATTGAAACAAACCTCACTAATAGTGAGAAGGTTTCTTTCTAGTCTATTCCCTCAAGTTGGGTATAACCCTTGGATACAAGACGTGCCTTATACTTGCCAATGGAACCATCTTCCTTGCGTTTGATTTTGATAACCCATTTGTTCCCAATGGTCTTGCGCCCAAGAAGAAGGCCAACCAAGTCCTAAACTTGATTGGTCTTCATAGACCCCTTTTCTTCAATCATTGCATTCATCCATTATTTGCAAGCAGCAGATGAGATAGCATGTTGATATGTCTTAGGCTCTTCACTATCATTTACAACAATTATGAGAGCTTCCCTTTCAATCTCAAATTGACGACGGGGAATGCTTTCACGTTTGCTCTTCCGCAAATGAGTATCAGAAAAACTCTTATTCATTGACAATGATTCATCGGGTGGTAAATCGCTCCCACTATCTCTAGGGA